GATAAGAGGGTTTGCTGGTCACAAGGAAGCTACTAAACCAAGAGTTCCAAGTGGTGAAGTTTAAATCGTCCCTTTGCTTTGTAAATTTTACGGACGCCATCACAAGTTGGTTGACCATTCACAGATGACAACGTATATGTCCCAATTGTCGTAACTACAATCCTGTCCCCTTTTCCCAGAATGTGATCAACCGAATTAGACTTATATTCGTGTTTTGTACTTACTTTTATTTAAACTAGTTTACAGGGGCAGTTCCAGGGTCCTTGGAGTATATGCAAAAAAATGGCAAAAATAGTGGCGAGCGTAGTGAGGCGAAATATTTATTGAAGATTTTAAGCTAAAATTTTAAAATTTCAAATCAAAGGGTGTATGCCATCAACCCAATTTACTCGTTCATTAGTTATGCTGTTTACATTTTCTCTGGAATATTGTTTTCAAAATAATGAAAACACAAACTAAAAGTTCATGAAAATCATTATTAAAGGTAATTACCCCAATAAACAGTCAATAGACAGTTGCAGTTACATGACATATGATATTCCCCTTGATGATGATTTTGTTGTTAACAGGTTCTGTCTATCTATTGCAGTTTTCAAACACAATCACTAAAGGGTAATATCTCAAACAAACAGTGAACTAGCATTTTCAGTCATGTGAATTTCTTGAAAATATATTTTATTGAAAATCACCCTTCAACTGGAGGCACAGGTCAAGATTCTAGGAAACACAGCATCAATTATACCATGGACATATGATAACAATAATAACTTTATACCAGTGTCTCATTAACTTAAACACCTTTTGTATTTACCAACTTATGCATTAAATTGAAAATAAACTTGAAGCAACATTTGCAAAACTATGAACTCATATATATATAAATGCAAGATACATACCTTTGAATCCAATTAGTATATTAAAATAAGATTTCTAGAAGTCAAAGTTTAAGGTCAATCGGTTAATTTCAACAAAGTCAGACAGGTAAACATATAATTCTACATGCAAGCAGAAATCATCCTGACCTTATTAGTGCATATATAAATTTCAAACCTAATGCAGGTGTTCCATACAGGTAAAATCAGCAAGAAAATCAAAGTACATGAAATTCAGTACAACAGGGGCAATTTTAATACTGTGGTTGTAAATTATTACTATGAAAGCATATAAATACATTAATTCTTTTCTTCATCGAGCATATTTGCGACATCTGTAAATCTTTCTGTGATCAATTTCTTTTTCATATGCAGTTTTTCAAGCAAAATCAATGAATTAATCTTTTTCTCGCCTGTACCTGGCAAATTATTTATCTACAATTCTAATATGACGTTCTTCTTTTGCTTTGGAAACAAAACCCATGTTTTAATTCCAATAGAACATGGGCTGCACATGACTGACGTCACAATTGAAATTGCAACGTGAGTTGTATTTTGACCAACACTGGAGATCAAAATGGACGTTTGCGTTGGTGTTGCTCACTATGAAATAAATTAAAATCTTTCTTAAAGTAACTTTACATGCATCTTTTCATTTTGTATCATTAAACGGTTGATTTACTATACCTGTTTTGACTTCATCAATTCAAAATGGCTGCCATTAGAACATAACTTACACTGCTTCAAAGTACAAAACTAAAGTTCTAAATTTCCTATTAGAATTGAAATAATTCTATCAGAAGTAATAACAACAAATGAAATGATTTGTAGATCAGTTTGCCTGATATACAATGTTGCTCTTTACAAATTCCATATTCAATTTTCAATGTCCAGTTGTAAATAACTTTTTTGATGATGTCAGAGGTTAGTATGACAGAATCTAACAAGAAGACTAAAAATCTTAAAATTAAAACATTTAAAATTAGCCATCCAATACAGTACCAAAAAAAAGTACTCTTATCAAATGGAACAAAAGACAAATATTTTATTTTGTAATAATAGATGCCTACTTTTCATTGCATTTGAAATTTGGTAGTAGACATCATTAAACATTTCCATGTTTAGAAGTGCTTTCCAACAAAATTTGAGGTGATAATCCAGGAAACATATTTTTAACAATTATTTCTCTCAAAATTAAGCACAGTGACACATCATTTTTATTTATCTATTTATTTCAAAATTCTGAAAGGTCCACCTATATAAAAAATATTTCAAAACAAACAATACAAGTACCTACATGTAGTAAAAGTTCATCTCAACCAAGAAGTTTAAAAATCTAATTTACCATTTAGCCTCTAAGCTCAAATAACTTGAAACAGACTAAGGGAAATAAATCCAAATTTTATAAATGAAAATAAAATATATTGAAATAACTTGATAAAAGATGTCATATTCAAACTTCAGGAATATTTTAAGAACAAGATCAAAATGTGATTTAATCATGGCTTGAATGGGAACCTATGTGTTAAGCCAGACACTATAAGGATGAGTGTTACCATGCTAGCTTTCCATGCGCAAGAGGGGAAGATTTTTGTAAAAATTTGCAGGAAAACAACTAATTGAGGAGGGTTATAAGGGCATATACAATAGTTTTGATACCACTGTGATTTTTTTATGAAAATTTGCATACAAACTATTTTAACCTGATCAATTCAAATATTTAATAAAATCTACTTTCATATGCTCCATTTAGAGATAAATGGGGTCAACATTTTAGATATTCCCTCTAAAATTTGATTTTCATAACATTTTTTTCCTTTGGGCAGAAACATCGAACTTTTTTCAAAAGATTATTATTACAAGGGTTTTTGTTAAACATTGGAAATATCTTCTCGACTACCTACATAAGTTTTAAATTTGTGTAACAATTCTTTGACAATAATTCATACTAATACTGATTTTTAATCATTTTAGAAAAAAAAACAGCATTTTTGCTGGATCTATTTTTTTTTTTTTAATCATTGGTGATTTTATCATTAAAATATGGTTCAAATAATCTTCCTACATTTTAAAGCAAAATTTATTTAAAAAAACAGGGGTCCATGTACTGGTTTTCAAACATATGATAAAAATCAGTGAAAAATACATCTTTTCTCAATTTGTGACACCACATTGGAACATTGCAAAAAATAGCATTATGATAGCAACGTTATTACCTCCGCTGTAACTGGTGTGCCCTTTAAAGATATGCAAAAGACACCATATACGTTTCTGGGATGTTAATATCTAATTTATAGGGATATGGAATAACCGTTGGATGTATCAGAGACATATATACACATGTGTATATATGTCTTATATACACATGTGTATACATATGTCTGCATGTAAAACAGTATCATGTATGCTTGTGAACTAAAGAAACCGAGATGTGTGGCTTGGGAAAAACTAAGAAAATATAGAGTAGACTGCGAAAAGGGAGCATACTTCATGAATGTCACATTCCTCGACAAACGGGTTACGTCGTCCAATGGTTAAAATAGTAAGTAAGGATCCCTGTCGCACCAACTAGAAAATGGCGCCAAATATAAGGTGCATGTTAATGCCAAAAAAGAAGAGGAAAGCAAAAACCCAACCAGGGACTTAATATAATATTATATTATATGATCTTATATTAGGTTCTAGACTCAATATTATAAATAAGTAAAAGTCAGTTTTTACAATTCTCAAGATGTATGCTGTATAGCTTACTGTAATAGAACAGAGCAAGGTGTTTATGGCATTGGGGGATTTGACAACAATTTTGATCAAGTTAACTGGAATCCGCCTGTATTTAACGCTTCGTTTTATGCAGGGTACTGGTTGTGCTATCAATGATGTTTCCTTTGTAAAAAAGAAATACAGGTTATCATGTTTTTTAAAGCAAATTTGGCTGGCATATTTATTTAATCTAATTAAACCTCTGTTTAAATAGTTTTAAAGAGATATAAGAAGATGTGGTATGAGTGCCAATGAGACAACTCTCCATCCAAGTCAAAATTTATAAAAGTAAACCACTATAGGTCAAAGTACGGTCGTCAAAACTTGGCTCACACCGAACAGCAAGCTATAAAGGGCCCCAAAAATTACTAGTGTAAAACCATTCAAACGGAAAAACCAACGGTCTAATCTATATAAAAAACGAGAAACACTTATGAACCACATCAACAAACGACAACTACTGAACATCAGATTCCTGACTTAGGACAGGTGCAAACAATTGCAGCGGGTTTAAACGTTTTAATGGTAAAAAACCTTCACCCTTATCTGAAACAATAGTGTAACATCACAACATAGAAAGACACACTATAAAGTATCAATTGAAATGGCCTAACTCAATCAAAAGACATATTTATGAGTGGCCGTTCATGTCAAAATAGCGATGGTTTCATCTAGTTGGTTTTTCCATCTAGATACTTGTTGAAAGCATCTAGATACTTTCAACAAGCATCTAGATACTTTCAACAAGTATCTAGATGCTTCGTATAAGTATCTAGATGGTTGTAAGATACATCTAGATACTTTAGCGAACTATCTAGATACCTTTTTCCATCTAGATACTACTTGAAAGCATCTAGTTACTTTTAATTAGTATCTAGATGGTTCTCACAAGTTATCTAGATGCTTCGCACAAGTATCTAGATGCTTCCTACAAGTATCTAGATGCTTCTCACAAGTATCTAGATGTTTCCTACAAGTATCTAGATGCTTCGCACAAGTATCTAGATGCTTCGTTAAAGTATCTAGATGTTTCCTACAAGTATCTAGATGCTTCGCACAAGTATCTAGATGCTTCGCACAAGTATCTAGATGCTTCGTTAAAGTATCTAGATGTTTCCTACAAGTATCTAGATGCTTCGCACAAGTATCTAGATGCTTCGTTAAAGTATCTAGATGTTTCCTACAAGTATCTAGATGCTTCGCACAAGTATCTAGATGCTTCGTTAAAGTATCTAGATGCTTCGCATAAGTATCTAGATAGTTTAAACAAGCATCTAGTTACTAAGACTAACTATCTAGATGGAAATAGTTAAACTGAATACAAATACTTTTCAATTTGCTTTTAAGTATCTAGATACTGTAGGGAGTTGTACTGACCAATCAAAAACCACTTAACAATGGAAATTTCTGCATGATTCTGCGGTTTTTTCTAAACAAAGTAATAACAGAAATATTTAAGATGGCCGAATCGGACAAGGAACGTTTTTTGCGACAGGTACAATCAACTATAGATTACTGTGCACGTTTAGGATCTTCAGATTCGCTGACACCACAGATCATTGACAATTTGAAATTAAGGTAACAAATATAAAACTATAATACAATACTCCATACTTAAAAATGTGTGTTGTTATGGTAATATCATATTACAGCTTTATACAAAATGATATAGTCATTTACTGTATAAAGATGAAAATTTTTGACAGTGAAGTTGTACTTTTAATCAAAACTATTACAATGTAACTTCAATCAGAGACCAAACATTAAGGAAAATTGAAAGTTATAATAATACTGCTTTACAATGAAGCTGATTCTTCAATATGAAAGAAAATGTGGTACGTACAAGATTATAAGGAGGAGCAGAATCAGAAGAAAATTAACTGATTTTTGGTGCAACTTTATATAGGCGTATAGTATCACTAGTATACTTTTTAAATTTGCCTATACATTCTTTGGGATATCATGTATTTGGTTCAGGATGACATGTTTTTTCTCTCGACTATACCATTATATTGTTGATTACTGCGTTGTAGGATGCTTACATTATCTAGAGATATAAACAGAGCTGGTGGCATATTGATATCTGATGATGAGAAAAATGACCTCATATCCATTGTTAATGAGATGAACGACGAAATCGATAGAACTTCAAATAATCATTTAAGTGCTAGTAGTGGTAAGTACAGTCAGTAGAAGGTCTCTTGGCTTAAGGATTATGCACCCTTTTGTAGTTTCACTCTTAACATATGAAATTTTATAGAGAATCCGCAGATTTTACTTTTGTACTTTTATAATGAACAATACTGTTCTTAGATAGGGAATTCACCTAAAGCATGTAGTGCTAGCAATTATTTCCGAATTATTAGATAAAGATATTAGTTCATGGACCATCTACCTTTTTGATGCAGGTTTTTTCTGTATTGTAAAGTTGTTGTTGTTTTTTATACAGTAAACGCTAGCACAACATTTAAAAAAGAGATATCTATGTTTTAAATTTTATAACGAACATTATTGTAATAAAGTCTGTGAAAATTCTTTAAAAAATCTTGGCTTGGTTTGCCACAATCCACATGTTCGGTAAACTACCTTATATGGTTATGCATAATTTAGGCATACAAATATTCCCGCCAAGTCATTGACTAATGCGTTGAATGGGTTGCAATGATTTTTTGACTACTACACATTTGCAATTTACAAAAAACACAAGGACAGACAACACAATTTTACATATATATATATAGACTGTGATAAGTACTAGTTCTATGCTGAGCCCCGTATTAAGGAATAATTGTTTACATCTTTAGAAAAGAATAACTGAAATACTTAAACCATGCATAGCCATTAATCATATTTATGACGGAATGTTTTAGTGATAGGAGACGACAATTTTATTTTTTTCTGGTGGTGACAGAGGAGTGCTTAATTGTGAATAAAATTGAACATGACAGATTGAAAATGAAAAGGAATGACTAGTCTGCAACACAAAATGCAGGAAACAACTCGTGGGGAAAAAAATAGCATGCGTTGCAGAAGGAAATGAATATTCAATCCACGAAAAATCCTTCAAATCCTGAAATGAATGCACAGGTACAGTGCATAATAATAGACAAAACCTGTTCTTATCTACTTTGACAAGACGAAAAAAAAGTCGAATGCTAAAGCAAGAGAACAATATTTTTTATATAAAAAAGAAGATGTGGTATGATTGCCAAAATGAGACGACTTTTCGCAAGAGACCAAATGACACAGAAATTAACTACTATAGGTCACCGTACGGCCTTCAACAATTAGCCAAGCTCAAACCGCCTAGTCAGCCATAAACAGCTGAATAAAGGCCTTGAAATGACAAATGTAAAACAATTCAACAGAGAAAAATAACGGCGTAATTAATGTACAAAAAAATAAACGAAAAACAAAATATGTAACACCGGAACAAACGACAACCACTGAATTACAAGCTCCTGAGTACGGACAGGCACATATATACATACAGAATGTGGCGGTGTTAAACATGTAAGCGAGACCCCAATCCATACCTGCTAACATTCGAAAATGCCCAGACACAAGAGCTGTACTCAAGCTTAGGTCTGTATGCCCTTTCTTTTATTTGTTTGGATGATACTTTTAGGTAACGTTTTAGAAAATTTAGTTGTCGATTTTCATTTGCTGTTATATTCTTAATGTTTATTCCATTTGAGATCTGATTGGATGGTTATGCCTAAATATTTAGCAGCTGCTTCAGTTTGAAGTATGTGACCATGAAGGATGTAGTCATGGTCGACTGGTTTCTTTTTTTTTTGGTGTGATTCTTAGTATGGCACATTTGTCTGGATGGAATGAAATTAACCAATCTTTTTCCCAATGTGCCGCTGAATCTAAGTCCTGTTGTAATTTTGATGCATCATCTTTATTTTTGCTGTTTCTATAGATGATGCTGTCATCAGCAAATAACCTTATATTTGTTAATTTCTGTCATTTGGTCTCTTGTGGAGAGTTGTCTCATTGGCAATCATACCACATCTTCTTTTTTATATTAAGGTGCTATGTTGTAAGTATTCCAGGAAATCATTAATACATATGAGGAATAAAATTGGGCCAAGGACGGCGCCCAAAGGCACTACAGATGTTACCCCGATTTTTTCTGATTGTTCTCCATCTTGTATGACTGTACATCCCAACAAAAAAAACCACTGAGTACAGATCTGAGAGTACTTCCTTGAATATTATGATATACATTACATTTATGACATTTTGTGAGGAAAATATACTTGTTGATAACAAACAAATCCAAATATGGACCTTAATATCATGCTCAATAGCAGCCTTCGACATCGTCAAACAGCTGTGTAATCTGTATTCAAAATATAACAATACTATGCTTAGTACCTGTAATAAAGGCTGTATTTGGGGTTTTTTCCTTTCATTATTTCACTCTGTATATACATTTTCTTTTAAAGATATAACAGCATTCAAAACAAAGAGGACACATCTTGGAACTGCTGGAGCACCAAAATTGGATATATCAAAGGATCAATTGGTATTCCTAGCGAAGTACAAATTTACAGCTCCATTAATGGCAGAAACACTTCAAATATCAGAATCCACTATTCGCAGGAGACTCAGGTTTGCATATATAACCCATCATGAATTTTGTTAAACAAAGTTGCAGTCTTGTGATAATGTGCATTTATTATAAATCCTATCTTTTGTGTTAAACATCTTTAAAAAATATTTAAAAAAAATTCACTTCATATATAAAAGAATTATTATGGCCACACAAATAAGAAACCTGATTGAATTTGTGTTCGCTTCAGTTGACCAAAAGAGGATATGAAATATGTAACTCATGAAATAATGAAGTCGCAAGGAACCACTTGGACTCTGTCTTTCGTAGAAGGAATACTGCTGTTTAGTCATGACATTCAGGGTGAAGGAGGAAATTATTCATTGGAGAGGTTAATTATTCATTAAATTATTCATTATTCAACTGTGAGGTCAATTTAAACCAAAGTGACATAAATTTTTACATATTTAAGTTTAAATTGTACATTCATTTGATCTTTAAAATTATTTTCAGAGAGTTTAACATAAAGTTAAGGGAAGGAAAGGAAACTATTATCTCAAACGAGGAATTGGATGATAAAGTCATGAACATAATTGGAACCAATAAAAGAATAGGTCCAAACTCAATACGGATTCGTCTTGCCATGGACAATACTGATATTTCACGCCAACGTGTCAGAGATGCTTGCCACAGAGTTGATCCTGTTGGCTGTGCTTTGAGATCAATTGAAAGACAAAATGTTCATAGGAGGACATATAAAGTTGCTGGACCAAATTCATTGTGGCATATAGATGGGAACCACAAACTTATAAGGTATATTAAACTAGAGGCTAAGCCTGTGTCACTCATCTTAGTCTATAAGCATATTCAACAAAGGACACTCTCTGACATTGTAGACAAGAACAGAATTCATGACAAAATATCGTGTTTTGTTGATCTTGTTTTGCTGATCATTTAGTTTATTTAGTGTCCCTTTTTCTTCTTTAATTTTTGCTCAAATCCTGAAAGTAAAGAAAAAGTTCATTTAAGGGTTATCACTCCTACGAAGAATGACAGTCTCCTAATTATATCTGCAAACTTTGACATGTTACATGTAGTAGAACATGCCCTCATATTTAAGTGAATTATATTTTTTAACATATCAGGCAAAACGCAAAAATAAAATGTAAAATCGTCATCAAAGGGCAATAATTCCAATAAGGACAATTTCCCCCATATCGTCTTAATTATAGATTTTGTCTCTCTGATCATTTTTGCTTATTTGAGTTTCTATCGGTCTATTAAAATTTTTAAGGTATAAGGGACGACATCAAAACATCAATGTAGGATAAAAAACTGAATTCAAATAGGTTGGGGGGAAGGTGGTGGGGGTCAGTGAAACAACTATGTGAATTAAGTTTTTTGTCCTTCATTGAACTTTTGATGTCGTCCCTACTGCAATAACACATAAAATCGGTAAACATTTTCATCAAAGGGTTATAACTCTAATGAGAAGTCGACTTACGATTTGGACCATGCAAGTTTATTTGTAGAAAATGTCATGCTGAATTTTGCAATTTAAAGTTTCTCTATACATGTATCTACTTATAAAGTTTTCAAGATAATAGCAAAAATGAACAAAAATGGTAAAATTTTTCATTTAAGGGAAATAACTTCTAAGAAGTCGTCTGATAGTTTTGACGTATTATGGACAATAGGTAGAGCTCATCATTCTGAACATTTTTGCCCTGTCAGATTTTCTCTATTTATAATGGTCGAAATAATAGACAAACCTTGCATTTTACTCATGTTCTATTTTTAGCCATGTCAACCATCTTGGTTGGCAGGTGGACACATTTTTTAAACTAATATATATGAATCCATGACAACTCTCCCCACTGCAAAATTGCCTTTTTAGATAAATGGTATAATCCCGATGAATAAAGGTCTGCCAACTCACTCTACTTATGAAAAAAGAATAATATTGATTTGTCAGTAGTGAATTCGTGGGGATTTGGATACTTTTCATAAGTCCGTATGAGTTGGCAAACAAGAGTGGTGGAGTAGGATGAAGTGGAATGAGTTGGTGCAAAGGTGGCACGATTTGGTGTGGGGTGAGTTGTCTTGCTTCCTATAATAATGTCCATATCAAAACCTTTTTTAAAATACATTTATCATTCCTAGTGTATCATTAAGTGTTAGACTATGGCTGCATTATCACATGTTTATAGTTTTAATTTTTTATAAATATAAATATATGTTTTAATAAATTAGATTTGGAATTTTTTGCATGACTTTTCATGGCATCTCCTTGGTTTTTTTTTAAATTTAGGTGGAATATTGTTATCCATGGTGGTATTGATGGCTACAGTCGCCTTGTTACTTTTTTACATGCCAGCAATAATAACCAGTCAACCACAGTGTATGATCTTTTTATTGAGGCCACTACACAACATGGAGTTCCTTCCCGTATCAGAGTGGATCATGGCGGTGAAAATGTAGATATATGCACCTTCATGGAAGGTTATCGTGGTACAAATAGAGGTAGTGCAATAAAAGGCAAAAGCGCCCATAACCAAAGAATTGAAAGATTATGGGTTGATCTTTGGGAGTCTGTATCTAATGAATACTATGATTTATTTTCATACATGGAAGATATCTACATGTTAGACATTACATGTGCACGCCAATTGTGGGCATTCCAATATGTTTTTTTACCAAGAATAAACAAGTCACTTCAAATGTTTGTATACCAGCATAATCATCACGGCTTAAGTACAGAGGGAAGCAAAACTCCTTATCAGTTATTTATCAAGGGAGTTTTACAAACAATAAATACAAACAATGTTTCAATTGCTGACCTGTTGTTACAGGCAGGTAGTAACGACTCTCTAGAACATATCACAGATGACTATGGAATAGAGGATAATAACTCTGATCATGAAGATAACAGTTTTGATGAAATTGAATTACCACGGATTCATAGCCCTTTAGATGATGGTGATATGCAACAGCTGAGAGACAGGATAAATTTAACCGAAGACTATAAAAACTTAACTCATGGTATTCAGTTATACAAGGATGTTTTATTATTCATTGAATCATTAAATTCAGATCAGAGGGAACTTATACCTTCAGTAACTGATTAAATAGGTGTAGTTCAATTTGTTTTTTCAAACTGTGACATATAGGGAAAAGATGCGTTTTTTGACTGATTTTTATCATTCATACTGATTTAACTTGAAAACGAGTTCATGGACCCCTCTTTTTTAAAATGACATTTGGTTTCAATATGTATGAAGATTTTTTGTACCAATTTTTATGAAAAAGTCAACAATATTTTTTTTATAAAATTAGATAAATATACAGCTAAAAATGTTTTTTCAATGATCCTGAAACTTTGATAAAATCTATTTCTTTCCAAACAATTGTTACACAAATCTAAAGCATACTTATGTAAAGAAGATTTTTCCAAATGTTTTTACAAAAATCCACTTGTGTTTATCTTTTAAAACAAAAAATTAAGGTACATGTATGTCAATCCAAAGGATAGAAATGTAAAAAAAAACAAAATTTTAAGTAAATGTCAAAAATTTTAACCCCAATTATCCTATTAAAGTATCACATGAAGGTATATATTTGTTGTTACATATTTGGATTGCTAAGGTGAAAAAAAGATTGAAGGAAAAGAAATTTTTGTCAAAATCATGGGATCGAAACTGTATTGTATGCCCTCGCTTCACAAATACATATATTTTATTGACCCAAACTCATTAACAATAAATGGTTAAGACCTATTGCTATAGATAATTATAATAATTGACATGATAGAATGAAAAGTTACATGTAAATACATCATGACAGAATGAAAAGTTACATATTGATATTTCACTATTCCTTATATTTACTCAATAATGCTGAGCTATTGTCTACCAATAGACATATCCTTTTTTAACATTGTTAATGTTTTTTACGCTATATTTTAAATAAAACACTTATTTTATTTTGTAATAGTTCTCTTTTTGAGGTAAATCTATCATATTGTAATTAAAAATGTTTTTCATCTTCAATTTTCCCATTATCACATACAGGACAGTATCATTCAAATTTGTTTAATATATCAACATATGATAATGTTTGACACATTGTGTAGATTTTAAGAAAGAAATTAAGATTAGAAGATTCTGGTATATTTGCAAATTGATTTTGCAAGCACTGATCATAAATTCCTTGATTTACTTGTCCTAAGTGCTTTTTGTTAAACAACTTTTATCTACAAGATATGAATATCTTAAATTTTGTAAAATATTTTTGGTTTTGTTAATCCAGGGATCTGAAAACCCAGTAGCACAGAAAATTTAATTTACATGTGTATTTTTGGAAAAAGGTATATGTTCCTAAAAATTTATGCTTGAAAAGACAATCTTACATTTGAGTGGAATTGGACCAATCTCAGCACAACATGCATCACATGAAGCCTTGAAATGCTTCTTTGATAAATATAATGTGTAATTTTTTAAAGGGTTCAAAGTCCCTTTAGGATGAGTAAACAACCCAAATTTCACAACAGTACCTAAGTATGGGTGATATAAATAAATCAAACAATTTTTCAAGAAGTCTACATGGGTTATTCAGACCAACGGTTTTCTTTTTTTTGAAGTAGGCTTTTTATGCCTTTTCCTCAACAGTATCAATGGCTATATTGAAATAACCATTACATTTTATTACAATAAAATAAGAATAATGAGTACACTAACAGTTTCAACACAAGAATCATTATAAGAAATTTGTAAAAAAAAAGGTTTACCAATTGAATTAAAAACAATAACTTTGGACTTATCCGTTTTAACTTGTAGCTTCCAACAGTTACAATTATCATGTAAAGCATAAATATAAACTAGAGGCTCCAGGAGCCTGTGTCGCTCACCTGATATTTTTATTTACAATTGATGCATGAAATAATGCAACTGTTATACTTTTGCTTTAGTTTCAGAGATATAAGTCAAAAACTGCATTTTTCCCCTATGTTTTTTTTTTAGTTGGTTGGCAAGCAAGGTCATCAGATACATTTTTTAAACTAGATACCCTAATAACGATTGTGACCAAGTTTGGATAAATTGGTCTCAGTAGTTTCAGAGGAGAAGTTTTTTGAAAGATTACAAAAATTTACAAAAATTTGTTAAAAATTTACTATAAAGGATAATAACTCCTTAAGGGGTCAAATGACCATGTTGTTCATGTTAACCTATTTGTAGATCTTACTTTGCTGAACATTTTTACTGTTTACAGTTTATCTTTATCTATAATAATATTCAAGATAATAACAAAAAATTGCAAAATTTCCTTAAAATTACCAATTCAGGGGCAGCAACCCAACAACGGGTTTTCAGATTCGTCTGAAAGTTTCTGAGCAGATAAATTTTTACCTGATAATTAATTTTATACCATGTCAGATTTGCTCTAAATGCCTCGGTTCCAGAGATATAAGCCAAAATCTACATTTTACCCCTATGTTCTATTTTTATCCATGGCAGCCATCTTGGTTGGTTGGCCGGGTCATCGGACAAATTTTTTAACTCGATACCCCAATGATGATTGTGGACAAGCTTGGTTTCATTTGGCCTAGTAGTTTCAGAGGAGAAGATTTTTGTAAAAGTTAACAGACGATGGACGACAGACGACGGATGCCAAGTGATGAGACAAGCTCACTTGGCCCTTCTGGCCAGGTGAGCTAAAAAGAAGATGTGGTATGATTGCCCATGAGATAACTCTCCATAAGAGACCAAATGACACAGAAATAAAGACTGTTTTGTAGCCCTTTTTTTAATTTGAGACAATAAAGCAATATCATCTGCATATAGAAGAATATTTTAAGAAAAATCCCCAATTACAACTGAATCAGAATTACAATTGATTAAAGCATTAGTGAGGTCAATAATATAATAATTAAAAAGTACAGGGCTCAGTACATCTCCTTGTTTTACTCCTAGCTCAGATAGAAATGCTGAACTGAGTCCATTTGAGAACTTGATTCTGCATACTAAGTCAGTAAATATTGAATAAACAATTCTAAAAATTCTATTTGGAATATCATGTATCAAAAGTTTATTAAACAATCCTATTCGCCAAACTGTATCAAAGACTTTTTAAGATCGATAAAAGCTGCAAATATTAATTTTGTTGTTAATAATGATCAACTACTGATTTTAGTGAAAATATGTGATCTGCAGTGCAACAATTTTTTTTAAACTTATCTGATATTTGTTGATTAAGATTTGACTTTTTATAGAATTAATTTATTAACAGCTTGCCAAAGTAAGAACTAATGGAATCACCCTTATAATTTCCAGGGTCAAATGTGTTCCCTTTTCATGGAGAACTATAAAACTTTCATTTCAGGTCTTTGTAAATGGTCTATTCCAAATAACATAAAAAATGTGGTGCACACTTTAAAATAACCCGCTACAATCATTCCTTAAATAATTAAAATTAGCTTTCACACAATACAATTTATAAGTTTTCAAGGACAGAGACTGATGGCCAAAATAATAATATATATCATTCTTGGGTAAATGTCTGGCTGTTGATTATGATCTCGCTGTAAAACTTGACAGCTTCAGCTGGGGCAAGTTCAGGTCTAACCTCCAAGGTCAATGCCAAGGCGCAGGTGTTTACAAATGTCCTGCTTCCAAAACATACATCTATTGGCTTGTGAAAGCCTATTGCTGGAATTGCTGTTGACCCTGTCAACCACATCAAGACTTCCTTTGGACCAATATCAATTCCATTTATAACAGTTGATGTTCCTGTTTAAAAAAAAAAATCTTTATCTACTGACCATGTTATAACATACATAATTAACAGCAAATTTGAAATTGCTGAAGAACCAAAAACTCCTGATCATTACATCTGAATAGATATTGTGGGGGGAAGTAATGTTTCCCATATCACACTCTTGTTTTTGGTAGTTCATAAGAACGTGTTTTAAAACAATGAATGTCTTTCTTAAATAAATTATTTGTCCATTAAAATCTTAATTATATTCAAATCAGCCTTCTCGATTCTTTCCAATTTTATTTTAATTGGAATCATTTTGAACATTGAGTACATCACTTTTCAAAGAAATCTGTGCTATAAATCATTTATATGTGCTTAGTGTCAATAGAAATTTCAAACTCATAACACTGAAAAACAAACATCTGAACCAAATAAAATTTGAACTTGATCTGTAACTGGTCATGATGAAACTATATATACCAAATATCAAATCAATATCGTCTGATCATGCTGTATGTCAATAAATTGGTTTAGCTCTAAATACTCACCTTTAGTGGCCTGAAGAAATGTTAAAAATCCTTGACCGGTTGCCCTTTGGTCTAAGGCAGCATTCCCTGTATCGTACTTGAACTTCAACAGGTTTCTTAATGTTTGGACTGTTAAAGGTTTGACTCTTCCACTGAACAGTGTCCTAGCACAGGCAATGTTGACATCCTGTTTTAACAGGCTCAAAACTTGGTGAGTGTCTAATCCTGTTTAAAAAATATTTAGATCATGAAAACATGAAAGTATCAAATATTCTCTAAAATACATATTATATGCATGTTTATCAGTCTGACATAAAACAGAAGGTTATTCCATTTTGTTTTGTAACTAATTGGCATCTCTCTTAATGTATTTTCATAAATAGGAAGTCAAACAAGAATATGTGATTATAGAACATCATTCCCTGCTCCCACTTTCAAGTTGACATGACAAGAACTTATAGATATATTACCTCAACAATAACCTTTAACCAGACAATTATGTATGTAATGGTTTCAGACTATCCCATTTCAATGTTAATTGTTAACAGTAAAAATAGGGTAAAAAAATTTTCTGGGAATTTGCAAAGAAAATTTCTTTCAAGTTAAAGTGACTAAACTTTATGGTTAACTGAATTGGTAAAAATGTTCACATATAAAAGACAGATTGATGGACAAAAGAAATAACAGCTGATGTGCACAAACCAGAAAGTATCATACCCCTCTCCTATCATAGGAGGGGCCTGAAAAAGAATCAAAGCGCGAAAGCGCTGTAAAGGCAGTTAATTACAGGTTGTGTGTATTTTTAGTCCAGTTATATCATTATCTTGCATAGTACATTGTACTTATCAGAAGTGGCTTTCAGTATTTAAGATTTAGAGTTCTCTAATGATATTGAACAAGTTTTATGAATGTCATATTCTGAGCACTATATGAAGGCGATTGTTCTCACTTGTTTATGAACTAGTGCATTATGTCCACTTTGTACCTTTTTTTTATCTATGTTTATAGTCAAATACTGTTTAAAATAGTTTGGCATTTTCTTTTTAGTAATAAGTAAATGTTATCAACTGTATTTTATTCAACTTCGCAAATGTGGTTTGTTACTGGTAGGTACAATGTATGGATGATAGTTGTTTCATTGGCAATCATAACACATCTCCTTATTTATATTCAACGACCTCAGGTACAAAAAAAATGTATGTAACTAAACTATGATGGGAAACCTTTGACTTCTTTCTTTTATATAAACTTTTGATTTGGTACCATAGAACTATGTAGAATAAATGTACATTGCAACATGTCAACTCTTTCAATGACAATACTTTTTTTAGAAACTATAACTCCAAGCAAAATTATATTTCCAAGTATAAAGTAATTTATGAATGAAACAAGAGTGCACAGGCTGAAATGTCTCGCCATCTTTACTAATCATTGATATTATGTTGATAGTCCTAAATATAAAGCTTTATTACAACTGTCACATAAACTTAGCATTAACCAAGTAAACTAAACATTGACCAATGAACCAAGAAAATGATGTCAAGGTCAGATGAACCATGCTAGGCAGGCATGTACAGCTAACAATTCTTCCATACAACAAATATAGTTGACCTATTGCTTATAGTTTAAGAAAAACAGACCAAAACACAAAAACATAAAACTGAGCAATGAACCTTGAAAATGAGGTCAAGGTAAAAAAAAAAACTGCGTGACTGACAAATAGATCATAAAATATTTCCATACACCAAATATAGTTGAACTATTGCATATAGTATTAGAAAAAAAGACCAAAACTCAAAAACTTAACTTTGACCACTGAACCATGAAAATGAGGTCAAGTCAGATGACACCTGCCAGTTAGACATGTACACCTTACAATCATTCCATACACCAAATATAGTAGACCTATTGCATACAGTATAAGAAAAACAGACCAAAACACAAAAACTTAACTATAACCACTGAACCATGAAAATGAGGTCAAGGTCAGATAACACCTGCTAGTTGGACAGTCCTTCCATACACCGAATATACTAGACCTATTGCTTATAGTATCTGAGATATGGACTTGACCACCAAAACTTAAACTTGTTCACTGATCTATGAAATGAGGTCGAGGTCAAGTGAAAACTGTCTGACGGGCATGAGGACCTTGCAAGGTACGCACATACCAAATATAGTTATCCTATTACTTATAATAAGAGTGAATTTAACATTACAAAAAATCTCAACTTTTTTTTCAAGTAGTCACTGAACCATGAAAATGAGGTCAAGGACATTGGACATGTGACTGACGGAAACTTCGTAACATGAGGCATCCATATACAAAGTATGAAGCATCCAGACCTTCCACCTTCTAAAATATAAAGCTTTTAAGAAGTTAGCTAATGCCGCCGCCGGATCACTATCCCTATGTCGAGCTTTCTGCGTTAAAAGTCACAGACTCGACAAAAAGGAGTTCTTAATTAAGAAATAAACTGATTCGCTGAGCGCAGCTGGATACACCTGCAGAGGTCCAACCCTGAACAGTTGGGGCAAAAATGGACACAATATTCAAGCTTGATACAAGTCTGAATTTGGATTGTAATTAAATATTTGACATATTATAGTTTCTGAATAAATGTAGTCAAAGAACTTGAAATTGGTTATATGAATTGAATTTATATTCAATTAAAGATTTCTTGCTGTTGTGCAATACACTGTGCAGTTGCGCAATACTTAATAAATCTGTTGCCAGACTATAAACAAATAAAGTTCAATTTCTTCTCAATGTCATATTTGAAATTTAGGAAAATCAATAGGGAGATTACATCAATAGCTATAAATAATTCACCAAAGTTTCATGCGAACTGCTTAAAGCATTTTTGAGTTGTTGTCCAAAAACTGGAAAATCCCCCCTTTTTTAATGAATAAAACCCCATAACTCAGAAATGTAAAATCTAAAATTTATAAAATTCTAAAGGGAGCTTACGGATTGATAATTTAGTCTTAGATGCAAGATTTTTTTATCAGTTGTTAGTGGCTTTGAACTAGCTGTCAGTAAATGCAAGTACTCTCAGATCTGTACTTAGTGTCTTTTTGTTGTTTGGATGTACATGTGTACAACTACCCGGCCACGTCCACTTGTATTTGTATTTATCCATCTGATGAGTTAAGCCTCTTTCAACTGATTTTTTATCGTTCGTTCTTATATTGTACTGTTACACCACTGTCCCAGGTTAGGGGGTGGGTTGGGATCCCCCTAACATGTTTAACCCTGCCACATTCTGTATGTACACGTATGTGCCTGTCCCAAGTCAGGAGCCTGTAATTCAGTGGTTGTCGTTTGTTGATGTGTTGCATATTTGTTATTCGTTCATTTTTTGTACATAAATTAGGCCGTTAGTTTTCTTGTTTGAATTTGTTTTACATTGTCATTTCGGGGCCTTTTATAGCTCACTGTGCGGTATGTGCTTTGCTCATTGTTGAAGGCCGTACTGGAAAAACTTCTCTACCAGTTGTTCAACAAAAGATTTTCTAAAAATGTTCAGGAACTAAAAGCACTATCACTGATATTATACTAAGCCCTAAATCAAATCAAGACATATTTCTATAATAAAAACATTATCCAGATATTAAGAATAAAATTGAGAATGGAAATGTGTTAAAGAGACAACAACCCGACCAAAGAGCAGATTACAGCCAAAGGTCACCAAAGGGTCGTCAATACAGCGAGAAAATCCCACACTCGGAGGCAGGCTTCGGCTTAAGCAAAAAATGTGTACTAGCTCAGTGAAAACCTAGTTCAGTTAAGAATGCCTGCAATATAGGAATATGAACCAATAAGCTTAGAACAAGTGTCATACCAAATTATAAGCTGCATACTTTAGATATGTCATAAACCAATGTTAAATACCTTTGATAAACTGATCAAGTTCTTTCTTGCACTTGTTAAGTTGGGTCTCCAATAACGCAGCCAGAAGGATGTTTACATGTTTTTTTTTAAATGATGAAGGTGGAATTATAAATCCGGCATCGACAGCTTCATCAAATATACCAGAGTACATATTCTGTAGGTCCGGTTCTGAAGTGCAATCTTGCATCTGAAAGAAATGTTAATAGAAATTATAGTTGCAGTAAGGAGATACAAAATTAAAATTAAAGAAAAATTGTATAAGAAAAAAAAATTGAATCATAATTTCCTGTCGATATGCACATCTACATAGTATGTCCTTATTATCTACAAAGTTTCATGAAATTCTGTTGTGTGGTTTAAGAGGAGTTGCGATGACAAACTCTTGCAGAAGTATATTGAAGCAAATAAGTTCAAAGGGGCGTAACTCCTGGAAAAAAAATTGAATCATAATTTCCTGTCGATATGCACATCTACGTAGTATGTCCTTATTATCTGAAAAGGTTTCTTGAAATTCTGTTGTGTGGTTTGAGAGGAGTTGCGATGACAAAAGGTTGCAGTAGTATATTGGGCAAATAAGTTCAAAGGGGCGTAACTCCTGGAAAAAAAATGAATCGTAATTTCCTGTCAATATGCACATCTACGTAGTATGTCCTTATTATCTGAAAAGGTTTCATGAAACTTTGTTGTGTGGTTTGAGAGGAGTTGCGATGACAAGAAACAGGGCTGACGGACTGACGGACAGACTGACGGACAGACGGACGGACGGGTCAAAAACATTATACCCTCCGCAACTCGTTGCGTGGGGTATAATAAGAACTTGTACATGAAAGAGCAAATTAATGTATGCAGTTTTTGAAAAGGAGACTTCAATCTTACCAGCTTTTTGTTGTGTTCATGTTGTGCAATCTCTAATTTTTAGTTGAAAGTTCATCTTAATCCTTTTTTTGCAGTAGAGTTATCTGTTTTTATTGGAATTATTTTAACACCCACCCCCCCAAACCCGGCCACTTTCATCAACAATCAGACATCTATTTAAGTTGATACTTTGTATTTTTTTAATGGGACTGGCTAAATAACCTGTCCAATGAAGGGTTAAGTTTAATTTACAAAAATGATGGAACAAAAAAAAGAGTATTATATGAAAATCAAATAACAATTTATTGCAACAATTACTGGTATTCCATAAAGGTTATGGAACATGAGATTATGAATCGAGATTTAATAAATTTAAAAAAAATATGATGCTGAAATTTTTTTTTCTTTTCCTTTATTACATTCAGATTTTTTGTTCAAGCTTATTTATACAATATTCACACCCCATCTTCATTTTACGAAAATATGAATAGAAAACTTACCATGACAATGGTATTCTTTAAACCCTCTGGCAAATCATCTACATTTAAAATACAGGGTTTCCCAAGCAAGATATAGTCTGTAACTATATCACTAAAGATGGGAAGACCTGGCCCATCTTGAATGATGGATAAGGCGACCAGCTGTCCCAGATGGAAAAAAATATTCTGGGTCCTTGCAATAAAGTTGTCACGCAAGGTTTGGCGTCCTGGTTTTCCTGAAATTGTACAAAGTACCAAAATCATACTAACAATATGGTTGAAACATTATACTGCTCTTAATACAATCACTGAATCTCTTACGGGCAATATTAAGCAGTTGTAATTGTGGTGTATGTAATTATATGAGAAGTTCAATGGGATTCTAAATCATTAAAGTTAACAGAAGCTGTTTCAGTAATACAAACAATGCTGTACAGGAATTTTGCATTGATTCATCCAATGTCTTTGATCATTAAAATCGTTAAAAAGGACATTATCTTATAATATTGATAATATAATAGACCTGAATAATAGTAATTTTGCTATATGCCAAATGTTTCAAAACTGTCAATCCAAGCGCACATCAGACCAAATATAACCAGATTAAAATGCAGGTCAAAATAAAAGATATTTTAAAAATTTTCATACAACAAAATTTTATAATTTGATATATTTGTGTATTTTCCTTTGAAATTCTGTAAAAATTTGCACACAGGCCCTCTTTGGTCCCTATTTAAGAATATTTGTGATTCAAATTTTCAATTCAATCCCAATCTAGGTTTAAACAATTTAGATTGCATATATGCAACCAAAGTTTAGCACAGAAAACTTAAAATGTTCAAATGAAAGATGGCAAAATATCTTAACTGTAAAAATAACAAGAAATGATTGTAACAGGATGCTGTTACGAAGTCTCCCAAACGAAGCTCCCATAATTCGTAATTCCCAGGGTCGCCTGACATTGGGCAACGTCCAGTGAAAATTGATTTGGTCCAGTAAAGTTATATGCATTAGTGATGCCTGGGGACTAACCTTGTATATCATTCAAATCATCTTGGCATGACAAACCAGAATATATATGGTTTAGGGGTGGGGATCTCGACCACTTACAAGGTACTAGAACTTTCTCAAATGGCAGGGGGTCGGGATGACCCTTGGGGACTAACCCTGTATATCATTCAAACCATCTTAGCATGACAAACCAGAATATATATGGTTTAGGGGTGGGGATCTTGACCACTTACAAGGTATTAGAACTTTCTTAAATGGCAGGGGGTGGGGGTGACCCCTGGGGACTAACCCTGTATTTCATTTGATGTGCTTTATCATGACAAACCAGAATATATATGGTTTAGGGGTGGGGATCTCGACCATTTACAAGATATTAGAACTTTCTCAAATGGCAGGGGGTAGGGATGACCCCTGGGAACTAACCCTGTATATCATTCAAACCATCTTAGCATGACAAACCAGAATATATATGGTTTAGGGGTGGGGATCTTGACCACTTAGAAGATATTAGAACTTTCTCAAATGGCAGGGGGTGGGGGTGACCCCTGGGGACTAACCCTGTATTACATTTGATGTGCTTTATCATGACAAACCAGAATATATATGGTTTAGGGGTGGGGATCTCGACCATTTACAAGATATTAGAAATTTCTCAAATGGCAGGGGGTTGGGATGACCCCTGGGGACTAACCCTGTATATCATTCAAACCATCTTAGCATGACAAACCAGAATATATATGGTTTAGGGGTGGGGATCTTGACCACTTACAAGGTATTAGAACTTTCTTAAATGGCAGGGGGTGGGGGTGACCCCTGGGGACTAACCCTGTATTTCATTTGATGTGCTTTATCATGACAAACCAGAATATATATGGTTTAGGGGTGGGGATCTCGACCATTTACAAGATATTAGAACTTTCTCAAATGGCAGGGGGTCGGGATGACCCCTGGGGACTAACCCTGTATATCATTCAAACCATCTTAGCATGATAAACCAGAATTTGTATGGTTTAGGGGTGGGGATCTTGACCACTTAGAAGATATTAGAACTTTTTTAATGGCAGGGGGTGGGGGTGACCCCTGGGGACTAACCCTGGTTTTCATTTGATGTGCTTTATCATGACAAACCAGAATATATATGGTTTAGGGGTGGGGATCTCGACCATTTACAAGATATTAGAACTTTCTCAAATGGCAGGGGGTAGGGATGACCGCTGGGAACTAACCCTGTATATCATTCAAACCATCTTAGCATGACAAACCAGAATATATATGGTTTAGGGGTGGGGATCTTGACCACTTAGAAGATATTAGAACTTTCTTAAATGGCAGGGGGTGGGGGTGACCCCTGGGGACTAACCCTGTATTACATCTGATGTGCTTTATCATGACAAACCAGAATATATATGGTTTAGGGATGGGGATTTTTACCACTTACAAGGTATTAGAACTTTCTTAAATGGCAGGGGGTGGGGGTGACCCCTGGGGACTAACCCTGTATTTCATTTAATGGGCTTTATCATTTAGAACATTTTCAATTAAAAAGATTGTGTCTATCACAAACGGTTTCAATTTATAATCATTTGAAAATTTTAAAAAATAAAATCCCATAGGGTTCTATAGTAAAACCCTCTTTTCTTTTTGCCCCTCAAAGTACCCCTTTATAAACCCCGTTGCACAAACAAAACCCTGATTGCACCACTAGACATGTTAGTCTAACATATTGCGAAACCCAAAGTTAATCTGACATGCGGTTTTGGAGAACGGGTGCGGACAAGTTCAAATTTAAAAGCGGCGGAAGAAGAAGAAGAAGAATAATAATAATAAGAACTGAGCAAAAACAGTAAGTCTTCCCAAACTTCGTTTGGGAGACTTAATTAACCTCTTTGTGAATTTATCATTTAAAAAACTAACGTTTATTCAATCAATATTAATTTTGGCATACCTGTAACAAATACAGAACTACTTATCTTGTGGAGAAAGAGACTCCAAAATTCCCGTCTCAATCCCCCAAGATCAACACCGTCCTCATCAGTGAAAGATATCCTTAGTGGGCTGTGAAGATCATCTTGGCTGATACTGATGAAGGCCAAGGAATCCTGCACAGGATTTTCCCTTCTCACCTCCATCAGTAATGGGTCATCGGAGTCATTGTGGATAAACAATTCCTTATGTTCTTTAATTTTTTTTCTGAAATTTTCTGTACACTCATTTTGCCTAAAAATAATAAAAAATATCACTTTCAGATGTCATTTTACAGCAAACTGTCTTTTGAATATCACTTTCATATCTGAAAAATTTCTTTCCAATGAAAGCACTTTCCTCTTAAGCAACAATACATGTACAAACATAAAACTATAGTTTTTGAAGATTAGTTTGTACAATTTTGTGTAGTACTAGTATCATATTTACAAGCTTTGCCTTAACCTACAATCCAAAATGTGCTGTTACCAAAAGGTGTAACATAACTTCGTAACATAAGGTATCTGCATACAAGGTATAAAGCATCCAGGTCATTGTCCTTCAGAAATATAAGACTTTATACAAATAGTTTACAGCACTGCCCCAAGACAGTTATCCATAGGTCTCTAATACTGCCAATTTCGTCGCAGGCAAAACAAAAACCTTAAAAATATTTTTCACCTGGAATTTTAAACATTCACACTTAAGTTTGGAGAATTCAATTTGGAAAAGAGCATTCAAAATGCAATTGCAAATTAACTTTAAACAAATGTTTTTGCCTTTTTCAGGTTAAATGATAATGGTAGAATAACCAACACAATGTAACTTTATCTGTTTTAGTATGATCTACATGTTTTCCTGAAAATCAGGCAAATTTGTTCTTTTGGTATTATTATATCAGAAATTGATGAGGCAAGTACCAGGTCCATCAAAATCCTTCCAAACATGATATGTAATCTTCCTAAAAACAGGATATCTTGATCAAAAGTCAGAGCATGAACACAAAAGAAAGTGAACAGAGGGAAGTTTCAAGGACAAAAACAAAGATTGACCTTCATCTTAATGCTATTATAATTATTTGGTTTTGTCAAATATCAATTTTACCCAATGTCTCCAAATAGTCCAACCTCTGGGATGTCTTCAAAAATTGCATTGATATTGTTTACATCTACAGCCAAATCCCTGAAACACACAAAATAAATGCATAAACTATTTATGTGCAAGATGCAAACATATTCTAACTTATATATAAATTCCCGTGTAATACTTGATCTCATTTTTTTCTTGATATAAAATAAGATGTGATACAAAAATGTATAATTGCCAATGAGACAACTCTCCACCAGAGACTAATTAACATAGAACTTAACAATTATAGGTCATCATACGGTCTTCAACAATGCAAACAACAATCCCATACTACATAGTCAGCTGTAAAAGGTCTTGAAACAAAAAATGTAAAAAAAAATCAAACTAATGGCCTGATTTATCTAAAAAACATTAATGAACAAGTTACAAATACGATGTACAGCAACAAACAGCAACCACTGAATTGAAAGACCCTGATATGGGACATACTACTTTTCAAATGTGTAATAACTGAATTCATGTTTGTAGGATCAATGTCTCACATACATTAATTCATTATCTCTTCATTTCAATATCAATACCTTGTAACATCCATTAATGACAGAGGGTTGACTGGTGTAGACAGTTGTTCATATTGTTCAGTTGCCGTTTGTTCTGTGGATGTTGGAACTGCAGTTGATCGGAATAGGACTGTTGGAGTACCAGCAGTATGATAGGCTTGAGTTGTAGTTTCACTTACCTGAAAAAGAGCAAAGCAAAAAATATAGAAGTTCTGTATATATTTTAAAGTTTCTCTATAAAATAATCATGACACAGGGCAAGTGAGTAGGGAAAACGGTGAAAGAATGTTAACAAGAACGCAGGAAAATAGTCATATCTTTTTCTTAAAGAATAAATTTAATACAACACATCATTTAACGACTGTTAAGGAAAACTTTTATGAACAAACGAAAATAGATGGAAAATATATAAAGAAAAAATTAAATTCACTTATACGTCACATGCCCTACATGCTCTACATTGGTTGTTTATAAATATCATGATCATGTTAACTTTGCCAACAAACTAGAAAGTTTTTAAGCTTGCGATCAACAGTCACTGAATGAAGTATTATTTGTTGATAATATGTTATAGCTTTGCATTTGGATTGTGATGAAATATTTGACACAGCATAGGTTTCTGACACAGAATGAATGTGGTCTAAGAACTTAAAAATTTTAAATTGGACATTCACCTATTATGGTCCAATATCAAAAATCTAAATACATGGTTAGATTCAGCATATCTAAGAACCCCATATATTCAATTTTTGTTGAAATCAAACAAAGTTTAATTTTGGACCCCGATTTGGACCAACTTGAAAACTGGGCCCATAATCAAAAATCTAAATACATGTTTAGATTCAGCATATCAAAGAACCCTAAGAATTCAATTTTTGTTAAAATCAAACTAAGTTTAATTTTGGACCCTTTGGACCTTAATGTAGACCAATTTGAAAACAGAACCAAAAATTAAGAATCTAAATACACAGTTAGATTCGGCATATCAAAGAACCCCAATAATTCAATTTTTGATGAAATCAAACAAAGTTTAATTTTGGACCCTTTGGACCTCAATGTGGACCAATTTAAAAACGGGGCCCAAAATCCAAAAACTAAATACACGGTTAGATTCAGCATATTAAAGAACCCCATGAATTCTAGAATAAAACCCCATTGAAATTGGTCAAGAAATAAGCAATTTATATGAAGTATCTTCTTTTGCACAATACTGTGCAATTAAATATTTCTTGCTATTGCGCAATACTGTACAATTTACAATTTCTTGCTATTGCGCAATATTGTGCTATTGGATATTTCTTGCTATTGCGCAATACTGTGCAATTTAAGATTTCTTGCTATTGTGCAATACTGTGCAATTGAAAATTTCTTGCTATTGAACAATACTTATTATATAATAATTTACACATCCTGTTTGGTGTGTATCTCCTACCATATCATTATTATTTGCTTTTAAATATAAATCAGAAATAACCAACTTAAAATGGAAAATTTTAAAAGAAAAAAAAAAGGAAACCCCTCCCCCCCCCAAACTTTTTGAACCCCCTTACGATTCATCACCCCCAAACTCAATCCCAGCCTTCCCTTTGTGGTATGGTACCTTGCAGTACAATTTCAGAGAGATCCATACACTTGAACACAAGTTATTGTCTGGAAACTAGAAAAATGCTTGTTTTTTGGCCCTTTTTGGCCCCTAATTCCTAAAATATTGAGGCAATTACCCCCATCATCAATCCCAGCCTTCCCTTTGTGGTATGGTACCTTTCAGTACAATTTCAGAGAGATTCATACACTTGAACACAAGTTATTGTCTGGAAACTAGAAAAATGCTTATTTTTGGCCCCTTTTTAGCCCCCAATTCCTAAACGTTTTGGCAATTACCCCCAAACTCAATTCCAGCTTTCCCTTTGTGATATGGAACGTTGTAGTACAATTTCAGAAAGATCCATACACTTACACACAAGTTAATGTCATGAAACTAGAAAAATGCTTGTTTTTTGCCCCTTTTTTGGCCCCTAATTCCTAAAATTTTGAGGCAATTACCCCCAAAATCAATCCCAGCATTCCTTTTGTGATATGGAACCTTGTGGTACAATGTCAGAGAGATCCATACACTAACACACAAGTTATGTCTGGAAGTTACAAAAATGCTTATTTTTGGCCCCTTTTTGGCCCCTAATTCCTTTACTGTTGGTACCATAACCCCCAAAATCAATCCCAACCTTCCTTTTGTGGTATTGAACCTTGTGGTAAAATTTCATAGAGATCCATTCACTTAAACTTAAGTTAGAGTGCGAAAACCAATGTGTCTTCGGACAACGACGCCGACGACGCCAACGTCATACCAATATACGACCACAAAAATTTTTTTGCGGTCATATAAAAATGTGCATACAGGACTTCAATGATTCAATGATTTCTATAACATTAAAATTTCACGTAAATGATTTCATATGACTTTAATATTTTACAGTTTTACATTTGTAATTTTAAAATTTTCATTTGTGGATGTTTCTATTGTATATTTAATGATACTTGGTAAAGTATATTTAAACAAAAGTAGTATTTTAGCTAGCCAAATTTGACATGAAGTTTTTTACTCACATTTGATCTACTTGCAACCACCCTGGGAGATGATAGGGCTCTGTTTCTTCTTGTTGATGGTGAAATGGAAGCTTCAGGAGCTACCTGCAATAAAGTTAATGAATTAGATTTAAAATGATGAACTATTGGTAATCCAAAAAACAGACTGAATCACAAATCATTTAAAATCTTCCTTATACTGTTTTTTTAAGAATTTTGTCCAGGAATCTCCATGAATGAAAATTTAACCATGAAAGAACTTTTACCAACACAAAACCTCATGCATTATGATCCAGATTATTTGATTCGTCTGTATTTTATGTACAAAATAGTAAATAAACTGATATATATTGTTTTTTGTATTCATTTTGGTTCAGAAGACATTGAATAAGTAACCAATTTCATCATCAATTATTATGCATTAAAATTCCAATATGACCATAGTTAGTTGTACTGTAAACATAAATATACTTTCCTGTAAGATTTGTTGGTAATATCAAGATATTAATCAACACCTGCAATATTTAATCTTGACTAGTGTTAATTCTTCCTGTGTTGACCACATTGATGCCTCTTAATTTTGGTAAATCATTGTTTCCTATAATCTGTAGACTGTTTTGTCATCTTGTGTTTTTTTTACCATTTTGATATAACATTTTTACAGGAGTAATTGGACCTTTTTTTAACTAGATTACAACAATGACACTTGGTGATTGAAACTCCTCTAAAACCATTTGACAGAAAGCTTACATTCTTGCAAGCATTGATTGCCATCAAATGTAGTTGACCATATAAAATCATCATTTGGACCACTATTTCCATGGGACATTGACCATTTGTTTATATTTGACTTTCATTCCACAAGGTATGAAACCTTTTAATGTCAACTCAGGAGTCTGTCATTAGGTGGTTGTCGTTTATTGCAGTATATCATGTTTGTTTTTAGTTTTTCTTGTTTGAAATGTTATATTTTACATTTGTCATTCATTAGTCTTTTATATTTCTTGTTTGAAATGTTATATTTTACATTTGTCATTCATGAGCCTTTTGTAGCTGTCTATGCGGTAGGGGCTTTGCTCATTGCTCATTGCTGTACGGTGAGCTAAAGTTGTTAATTTTTGTGTCTCTTGTGGAGAGGTGTCTCATTGGCAATCATACCACATCTTCTTATTTCATATATATATATATATGGCAAAAAGTATTTATACAGCACAAGGTTTCATACTGTTGGTTTTGAGCAATGACATATACAAAACTGAAGAGGTGTGAGAATTTACTACGACATACCACTGCATGAATAAAATCATCAGCAGCTATAGCAGTTCTTCTTCTTTGCCTACCAGAGTTAGATGATAAACCAGTTCTGCGTGGTGTGGCCTACAAAAGAATAACCTAATTTATAATAGACTTCAAATGAAAAGCATTTGCTAAAAGGTTCACAAATGAAACAACAGAAATTTTCATTAATTTTTAATGACAACTGACAATATATACTTTGTGGTAGAATTATGCAAACTAAAGGAATCAAAGTTTTCAAAAAGAATTGAGGTTGAGAGATACCATTATGAAAGAGTTCATTTAGTAATTGAAATTGGAGTTTAACCAGCCTTCAGCAACTGTGAGAACTCAAAGACCAATACTTAATATCTTTTGTCTTTCATTATATTTTTTGGTTCTTAGTACCAATCTGATGAGAGTTATTCTAATTTCAATTGATTTTTATACTTTGTTCTTAGTATTGTGACACTAAGTCGGCGTTTTTCATATGCGCCGATTAGCATTTCACTTGCGCCGATTTTGTCTTTTATTTGCACTGATTATGTACAGGTAAATTACAGGTGAATGTAATTTTTTTATTTATAATTATCAATCTCTTCCATTAGATTGTGTACATATATGTTATGAACTGTCAATAATAACATCTATATAACTAGAACTGTTGTCCCCTGCTCACCAAGTAGGGGTAAAAGTAGGATTTCAAGCAGGATGAGTCAATTTAAAAGACTTCAACCAAAGACTTAGTCAATAAATCAATGAATGTTACTTGCATAATGATGTTGAAGTATTTTTGATTCAAAATAGAATATTTCTTGTGTTAGTTGTCTTTACATCTCAGACAAATTTCTTGTACGAGTTGAGAATAGTCAATATGTGTACTTTAAAAACTCACATTAGATCTTCTTGCAACAGGAGATGCTATGACTCTGCCTCTTCTTGATGATGGTGTGTTGGAGCCTTCCAGGGCTACCTACAATGCAAAAGCTAAATATCTCTTCATTGTTTTCAAAGAGAAAACACAATTTTTTTTTTGCAGTACAATAAACTGATTGGAACATGAACTATTATTGACAATAATTTGAATCAATACTTAGTAGACATTTAATTTCACGGAATTGTAAAGCATGCTGCTGGCTACAAATCTACTTTCTTATTAAGTCTTTATGATAGTTATCTGATTGGCATTCATACCACATCCCCTGATTTAATAAGTAAGTTAGAACATGCTAACACTTTATTTAATTTGTCTCCCCTTAAAATGGGTTTTGTAAAATGATAATTTAGTCCAAAGTAATTTTGTTGAATAATTCTGAAAAAGAAAGTTTTATTTCTAACATTTTTAAATTTTGATTTGGAGTTTGCTTTATATTAAAAGTGTGATTTCCAGCAGCAAACTACTATAGAAAGTTGCATCTGCTTGCACTAATTGTTATCTTCAAAACATCTGCAGAACAACAAATGAAAATGGTGTTGTGTTGCCTTTATGCGTGAACAGATTATCATACCAGAAACTAGTTTCAAGTTATAATTATAAAGAGCATTCCAAGTAACTTACAGTTGCTCTATTTCTACCAGGTGAGGACAATGTACTGGTTATTTGAGTGGATGAGGAATTTGACCTCTCAGATGTAACGGTTGTCTACAAAAATAAAACATGTGATAAATACACATATGGTTAATGAAATTCCCTACTTTTTTTTATTAAACATAAGTTTCATGGACTTATAATATACCTTCAAAGTATTCAAGTAGCCCATGATGATGTGTGGAAGACAAAATTCTCGCAAAAACATTATGAACCAAATTCCTTAATCAAATCTTTGCATAAAACTTATTGGTACTGACACTATAAGTAAAACTATATTTTTAAACAACAGGGTGTCATTACCTCCAAAAAATAAGTTGAAGTTATCAATTTTACACAGCAGTTCTAGTTTTCACTTACACTTGCTCCACTGGTACCTGGTTGAGACAGTGTACTATTTCTCTGGCGACTTCTTGGCGAATCTGGTGTGTCAGATGTTGACTGCAGAATAAAAGAAGACAGAATTCATTAATTCATTTTTTTTTGCACTGTCTTAAAATCCTGAGAGAACATATGATTCCAATATGGCTGGGTTAATAAAATCATGTTTGACCTGAAATTCATTTTAAAAAGTATTTGTTTTGAATTGCAAACCTGTCACTAAAGTTTAAAGATTAACTATGGAGACTACTACTTTTCAGTATCATGCACTTTACAAGTTTACAATATGACTGTAATATACTCTGTTTCTTTGGCATTAGGAAATATAATCTGTTGTAAATTGCATACTATTTTGTTAGTTTTCTATTTACTTACATGCTTTCATGCTTTCAACTGAAGTGTATCTGAAACATGCAATTTTATTTTTAAGGTGGCTGTATAAAATCAAGAATCTGAAGTAGACTTAATTTTAAACTTAAAATTGATAAAGTTGTATAAAAGACCCATGAAACATTTATTTATATTAGTTTCTTATGCAACAGAAAGTACTGAACATGGTTTTATATTTTAAGTTACCCATTCATGTTAATATTTTTATTTAAACCCTTTTATACAAGAGGAAATAGAGGTGATGAGGGCATGTGCATGGTTATAGCTGACTTCAAATGGGTGTTGTCAATTTAAAAAGATTGCTGTGTTCATAACTATAAACTATTGAACCAATTCTTTAGTTATCAAACATAAATGCTTATTACCAATTTCAGTTTTAAAGTTGATCTCATTATACTGTGGATTCATTATTTTTCGTAAGGTACCAATTTTCGTGGGTTTCGTGTGTACAGATATACCACGAATTCAAACATTCAACGAATTACAAATTTTGTATAAGGTTTTCCTTTATGCAGACATTGGCAAAACCACGAAATCAAATTAACACGAAAATGCAAGTTTGTCTCAATCCAAGAAAATAAGTACCCACGAAAATAAATGAATCCTCAGTATTAGTTAAAATAAAAAATCATTATACATTAATAAGATTGCTAATTTATTATGAAAATTTAACTGAACTAAATACTGTTAAAGTTATGCTCCAATTTAGTCTTCATCCATACTGTCCATAATGTTGAGGTGCATATATATAATGAGGATGGAACATGTAAATAAATTATTTTGCATGGCTCACCTTGATACGAATATAACATGTTCAAACTTGAGCAGGATGTAAATAAACGGACACATTGACACATTATTCCGTCTTTACTTCAAAAATATTCAAACATGAAAGCACAAAATTTCATGTATGATCTCTTGTACTTAAACAGCATTCATTAAAGTAAATAATTCTGCACTTTTCTAAATTGAATTCCATAATTATCTATGCACTAATGTTTTTCACATTTAACTTACAGGTGTTGAAAATTCAGTAAAGACATTAACAGATCATGCTTCAATTTACATGCTTTCATGATTCTAGATGTTATTTGGGATAACACATTGCTTTTAGTAACTGGGGAATAGCATATTGTTAGGCTGTGATCTAAAAATTACCGCTTGTACTGTCAAATTAGCATCATCAGATTGTCTTTCTCTTCTGGGAGGGAACAATGGTGGAAGCTCTTCTTCATCTGATTCACCTTCAGTAATCTACGGTATACAAAAAAAATATGCCTTTAGACACAATAGATTTCAAAATAAACTTTGTAACATAGCTTACAGTCCTGCTGATGAAATGATTTGCTCTGACGGTACAGAGATAGACAAATGACTAAAAGACAGTAAGCTAAAAGTGTATGACTTAGAAATATCCTTGTGGTTCATAGCCTACCTCTGTGCAAGGGAATTTTAAATGAAAATTAAACGCAAACAATAGAAACATATTTAATTTTGATATTTAATTTCCTGGGACGAGCGCTCTCAATAAAAATATTTTTCATTTAAGAAGGCAACAACATTCTAATAGAAACTGATTATATTAGTCAAGTATCATTTTGGTATTCGATACTTGGTACTATAGAGCAATACTCTAGTACTCGTCAACATCCCTAATTTTTACATTAATTCAAACCCAATAAGTCATTTTCTGAATTGGAATGCTGATTACAAAATGAAAGGTTGAAGTTCGCACCCCTGGTCAGGACTGAACAAAATAATTTTGTTGAATAAATTAGTCAAGTAAACAATCACATATAAGTTGTAAAAAAGTACCCATTTAATAGAATGTGTTTTTCTCATTGTTGAAGATTTTACTGTAACCTTTATATATATATAGTTGCCTACAATGTACATCATTTGGTTTCTGGTGTATTGTTGTCTCACAGGCAATAAATAATTCCACAATCTTATTTTTATCAGACAATATCTAAACCTGCTCTTTAGAGGAGATAAAAGGTACATCAAGTTAACTGTACTCACATTGATTAGCTGTTGTGCAGGTTTAATATAGAGGGTGAATTTCACTTTGGCCTTAAGATCCTTTAAGGAATTAAACACCACTTGTTCAAGTCTGTGTTTCTCCCTCAACTTTGCCTGGAAGAACTCAAAATCAACCCTTTCCAATTTTGGAAAGAGTTCTATGACTCTCTTCTTAAAGTTTATTACAGAGTCACTCCGGGATATTACTATCTTCCTGGATCCTGTAAATGAGAAATTAATTTTTACCAATGTTTTTTTTTCATGGAAATTCTTAATTATATATTTATTGTAAAATTCTTCAAACCTAAAATCATATAACATTATTACTCTAAACTCTTGACCTTCTTTTTGCAAATAACAATATAAATCTGTGCATCACTGTTTTCCTAGCTAAGGCAATGTCAAACACAAATGGCAACAAGCAATACAGGATCACATGTTGTGGTAAAAATTTCAACCTATTGGAAATAACACTAAATCAGCTATTAAAATTGTTTATACCAGTTTTGTCAAATCCTTGTATTTCAGATTAAAATTACAATTATTTTGAAAGATCATTATCATACACTATGTAAAATTATGTTACTTGTATTGGAATTTATGTAATTTCTTTCCAAACAGTGAGTTAATAATGTATACCTAAACCACACTTATTCAAGCGTCTAATCATCATGGGACTGACATTGGTGAATTCAGGGCCGTCCAAACATGCAATTTTGAATGAGTAGACTGGGTTAGTCCTCCTTCTGTATGCACCTGCTGCTGCAGTCTGACCTGGTCTACTGTCATGCTGCGTTCTAAAATTAGCAAATCTAAAGAAAAAATAATAATTAACTAATATATACAACTGACCTCATTCAAAATGATATATGATCTGATTAGAATACAAGAAATTTCAGTTCAACATATCATGCTATTATTTCATCTTCTAGACAGAGGCAAATATTTAGATTGGGTGTATAATCAGGTTGGGGGGGACTTCAATACTTAAATGATAGGGGGTGCCGCTGGGATTCTGTTACACCACCATTTTAATATAATTCAGATTTTAAAAATGTATACCTTTTCATATATTCCTTAGGTAAAAAAGTTACCTTTTCCCATATTGTTTGGGTTTTCTTGTTGTGTGTAATGTAAAAATGGAATACATGTACCATATTATCAAAAGAGAGAAAATTGGTTGATAAAAACACAGCCAGGAACACCAAGAAAGATGACAGATGAAGAAGTTATGGGAACTTTATTGACCTCATCATATATTTCTGATAGTCTCATCGACCTATTCACATATTTTCAAGCTTGAAAAGATGACCTATTCGAGCGGAATGTCCTATTACCTTGTATAAAGGAAGTGGCCCCCAGAGGGTGTATAATGCTTGTCACCAACCCCACTCCCTTGGAAAGGGGAAAATATCATTGTGAACCTCAATTAATGGACTTTAATATATGCAAAAGTGTTACTTTTATTAAATCAAAGCACTGTAAGCGCTTCGGCAGTTAACCAAAAACCAAGGCAAACGTAATTATGAAAACTCACAGTGGCACTGTTTCTTCAAATTCTTTTTTAAGATTTGAAAGAACAAACATTAAACATTCGTATATTGTACATTTGTGTTTATTTACACATTACGACCTTTCATTTGATATACAACAACCTTACCTTAAAAGAAAATTTTATTTTTTGCACTCAATGACCCCACCCAACTCATTTTTTGGGGACGTCAATTTGATATTTGAAATGTACGCTCCAAGTTTTCAATCAGGAGGGGGTGGGGGTGACCCTAGGGACTCCCCATATATTTCATTTGATTTGTTATATTGTCCCATACATGAATATGTATGGTTTAGGGGTGGGGATCTTGACTGTTTACAAGTTCTCTAACAGGAGGGGGTGGGGTGACCCCAGAGACTCCCCTATATTTCATTTAATTTATTATATTGTCCCATACATGAATATATATGGTTTAGGGGTGGGGATCTCGACCGTTTCCAAGTTCTTAAACAGGAGGGGATGGGGTGACCCCAGGGACTCCCCTTATATTTCATTTGATTTGTTATATTGTCTCTGATACATGAATATATATGGTTTAGGGGTGGGGAACTCGATCGTTTACAAGTTCTCAAACAGAAGGGGTGAGGTGGCACTGGGGACTCCCCCAAATTATTTTCATTTGATTTGTTTTATTGTCTCATACAAGTATATATATGGTTTAGGGATGGGGATCACGACCGTTTACAAGATAAAAGCACATTTTCAAATTGAAAGGGGGGTGGGATGACACCAAGGGACTCACCCTATATTCTATTTGATTTGTTTTATTGTCCTGTTCTCATTACTGAAGACCGTGTGTGTCTATCACTTGCTGTTTTCAAGTAATAGTCATTTGAAAATTTAAAAAAAATAAAATCCCATAGGGTTTTAAAGTAAACCCCTCTCTTCTTTAGGCCTCTCAAAATACCCCTAAATAGTCCCCAATGCACAAATGAAAGATTGATGGCTCCGCTTGACATGTTAGTCTTACATTTTGTGAAACCCTAAGTTAATCTGACAAGCGGTCCGAGTTGTCTTCTTAGATGGTCCGTCAGTAGACTCAGCCCTACTTGTCTCTGGGACGAGTTGTTCCGCATTTCTTAAAACATCGACCTGATTGGTCGATGTTGATTACGTCGATTTATGAATCTTTTTCATTCATAAAATAACAACAAGTGTAAGTTAAAATTACCAGATTACCGCCAACTTAAGACTACTATATATAACTTTATTTCCTCTATCATAGAGATTTGGTGTACATGAACAATATTCATTTTGCCATTTGGGAAATATAAACGACTTGTAATTCCAGATTTTCAGCGATGAAATATTTCATACAATACAGGGGATAATAAACTACGTACGGATTTCTATTGAGCACTATTTCCTATGTGGAACTTCAAATATTATGGGTCGTTTGACGATCATTTAAGGTTATTCTGGTCATATTTTTTGTATTCCAGAAATAAAAGTATGAAAAAAATGTCCAATCAGTTATAAATAACATATTAGCCTGCTAGATTATAACAATGGCACTTTTTTCCGCTTTCGTTGGGAAGAACACAAATCTAGGGTGCTTAACTGCCTAAAAAATTATGTTTTAAGTGACCTTATATGTTTTTTTTTAAATATCCCCAATCATATCACTTTGATGGTCTATTATTCAATACTATAGACACTATTTTATTAGTACAAACACAATTATAACAATTGGTAAAAGGCTAAATATAGTAATTAAATAGTATATAAACTACATAAAATTCAAAAACAAAATAATCATTATTATAAAATTGAGAATGGAAATGGGGAATGTGTCAAAGAGACAACAACCCGACCATAGAGCAGACAACAGCCGAAGGCCACCAATGGGTCTTCAATGCAGCGAGAAACTCCTGCACCCGGAGGCGTCCTTCAGCTGGCCCCTAAACAAATATGTAAACTAGTTCAGTGATAATGGACGTCATACTAAACTCCAAATTATACACAAGAAACTGAAATTAAAAATGATACAAGACTAACAAAGGCCAGAGGCTCCTCACTTGGGACAGGCGCAAAAATGCGGCGGGGTTAAACATGTTTTTTGAGATCTCAACCCTCCCCCTATACCTCTAGCCAATGTAGAAAAAAACAAACGTACAACAGTACGTCAAAGTATCAATACTTTATAAACAGGATATTAATATTTAATAGACGACTTTTGAATTCATGCACTTTCATGTAAATTTCTCTAATATTTTTTCTTGTATTTCATTTTTTATTTTATTTTTAATTTAAGATAAAAACATGATTGCCTGATTACTCAGGTGTGGATAGGTTTCAAGGAGCACATCGTAAGTGAGTGCACCATTGAAGGTTTCTGTAGTGGTGTTTTTTGTTATGTCTGAGGAAAATTTGTAGCTGTCTTTGTTACATTGGATTTGTCGGTAAGCATCTTTATTGGTGGATCTTGTATTGGACTGACTCTGCTGTAATAAATTTTGCGATGGAATGGCAATCTTTTCGTGTATAATTTTGTGGAACATTATTAGCCTTGTTCTTAGTCAGCGTTCTTGTAATGTTTGCCATTTCATGGTGTCTAGCATCTCAGACACACTACTGGTCTTGTGATGTCTGTTACATGCATACCTTGTCGCTCGTCTCTGTACTTTTTATAAAGATCGTATGTTTTCCTTTGAATATGGGTCCCATACAGTACAGCAGTATCCAATTTGGGTCTTATGAGAGTTTGGTATGCTCTTTCTTTAATTGTATGTCACTGGACTTTAAGATTTCTTCTGATAAAACATAAAGATTTATTTGCTTTTAAGCGGCTGTTTGTTTGATGTGGGTGTTCCATTTTAGATCTGAAAAGATTGTGATACCTAAATATTTTGCATGTTTTACTGATTCTAAGATGTGCCCATACATGCCATGCATGTTGTAGTAAGGGAGCTACCATTTGATTTTTATGGGGAAAGTTGACAGGACAGGAGTTTTGAGTAAAAAAAAAGGCAGGATGAGACACTTTGCCAAAAAAAAAAGGCAGGATGACAATTTATTTAAAAAATGTCAGGAAACACTAATAAAAAAAGACAGGACTGAATAGAGTGAAAGATAAAAAGGCAGGACAGAGATTACAACTAATAAAAAAATGCAGGACAAAATTTAGTCACTAAATTTTTCATCCTAGCCCCCCATAAAAATCAAATGGTAGCTCCCTAAAAGTGGATGGGATTTCTTTTGGTTGTCATGTTCATGATGTTTCATTTGTTCGTTTTTATATTTGATATTTTTTTATTTTATACGATCGGAGATAACTACTATGCTTCATGTTATAATAATATCTAAAAATTAGGATTGAGTTTGTAGAAGTACGGTTTGGTAAAAGTACGAGGTACATGTATTAATAATCTGGTACGAGTTGACAAAGTCATAGATCCTACGGCAACGAAAATAGTCTGCTAAAACACTAGAGATGAAATAAAATATTTATTACCCTGTTACAAAGTCGTTATCGTCACCATTTTCTTCCTCTATTCTTTCTCTAATTCTAATTAAGCTTCTTCTCAATAATTGTTGGTATCTTTCAAGATTCGACATATCAGCTGTGCGGGGAATAAAGCTCACGGGGAGAGAAACTACGTGTTTCCCTCTCTAAAATCCCGCGAAATTTGTTAATCAGTAGAGTAAGAAAACGCAAATTCAATTGGTTAGAATACGACAGAATACTAAAGATTTTAAGACTTTTCGGCCATCTAGATACTTTAACGAAGCATCTAGATACTTCAGCGAAGCATCTAGATACTTCAACGAAGCATCTAGATACTTTAACGAAGCATCTAGATACTAACACGAACTATCTAGATACTTGTGCGAAGCATCTAGATGGTTATGCGAAGTATCTAGATGGAAAATGCATCTAGATGGAACCATCGCTATTTTGACATGAACGGCCACTCATACATATTAACACCAGTGAACATACACTGAACAAATAAATTTGATCTATGATACAATGTAAATACAAAATAAATAAACTAAGGGAAGAATAATAAAAGTAACATGTTATATCGCTGTGAAATGTTAAACAATTTAAGAAAAACAATATTAAAGGTTCGTTTAAATGAGACACGTGAGTCCCGGCAGGTCGCGAGGTGGCCCGCCAAACCCCAAAGATCGCAGGTCAGATTTGATGAGTTTCATGCTGTGAGTAGTGGAGTTCAGCTCGGTTTTAAACGGAGGATAGTTTGCAAGTACTTGAGTACTTAGTTTTAATCTAATTTTAAATAGTAAAAAAATGTGTATGAGGTAGGCAAGTCAGAGTTACTTCCCGTACAACAGGGAAAATAACAAATCTGATATTTTAATATATCTTACAATTATATATACGTACTTTGTGCATATGTTAGAGGTATAGTTAAGTTTCCTTCCTATAAGATTAATTGTAGTGAACACACCAGTAAATAATCGAGACCTATAGGATTAATTGTAGTGAACACACCAGTAAATAATCGAGACCTATAGGATTAATTGTAGTGAACACACCAGTAAATAATCGAGAATATTAAAGATCAACATCACTGTTTTTTATCCTAATGTTATCATAAGTAGAAGGGAGAAGATACCCAGGAGGCAATCAATAACCATAAGTCGAAGACAAAAAAGAGACAATATCCTCAGGCAATATCATGGTGAGAAAGGGAAAAAATCACGAAACAAACATGTTTACAAATTCCTACAAAGCATTGATACCGCTAAAGATTGAGCAACAAGAACCCAAGAAAAAGTATTATACATGAATGCATAGTGGATAGATGATTGTTAAAAAGGATTTAATTGTAACCCTGTCACCTATTTCTCAGTTATTTATTTTTTTTAATCTTGCAAGTTGATTTGTTTATCGTTTCGTGTAAAACTTGAGCTATACCTTGAATACAAATCCAATAAAACTCTAATAGGGTAAAATGCAAGTTATTGTCATCATAATATCTAATATAGATATAGATGTATTATATAAAGATAGATCCTGTCAGGCAATTATACTAGTACTCAGACTGTTATTATCTATCTTCTTCATATTAAAGCAAAATAATCAAAAGTAACGAGCTTTTGCCTCAAAAAGACAATTTTTGACAAATTTTAGCGGTTTCAGTGCATATTGTTTTGAAAACTATAATAGCTGGGACTATTATACTTGTTAGTCCCATATAATAGATAGGCATAAACTGCAACCAGCAAAAATATCAGCAATTAAAATCTATCAAAATAATAATACTATTCAAATAATCAATTAACCACTTATATGAGTTATTGCTCTGAAAGACCTATACAACAATGCTATGATCATAATTGAAACTACTTCTTATGGGAGTAATTGCGCTGAAAAGAACAAAATGAAAATTTTTAGCGTTTTGCCTATTATCTGAAAACTCTTTTAGAAAGACAGAAACTATATCACGAGTAAAGATGATCATCAATACAAGTTAAACAAGAACTAACACAAAATGAATGAAATAGTCAAATGACCTTTATAAGGGTTCTTGCCCTTAAATGACATTTTTATAAACCATTTCAGTTTTGTAAATAGTGATAGAAACAGTATACAACAAAACAAATTATCATCAAGGCAAGGTATATAAGTTAGTCACATGAATGAAACTGTCAGTAGGTTGTTAATTGGAGTCAATTGTCCTTAAATGATTATTATAACCTATGATTTGGTCACAATCATCCTAGGTTGTCTAGTTTAATATGTGATCCTGATATTCCTGTCAAAGAACCAAAAATGGCCACGGTTACTAAGAATAGAACATAAGACAGAAACTGAAAACAGCAAAACAAATTGATATATAAATTAGTCACATGAATGAAACTGTCCGTTGGTTGT